CCAGGGGACAGATAATAGATTACCCACTGTATATTTTGTATATCTAAGAGATCTAGTTTCTCAGTCATAATCTTTTCTGCAGTCCAGGGTATGGAGATTAACACTATAACTTCAGATGAAACTGAGCTACGACCTTCTCACTGCTGTTTTGGGTATACAATAGGGTACTCTTTTAATCCCCTTGTACAGTTTAACAAATTATCAAGGGATTTAGACCTTTTGGAAATTTAAAGACCTTTATCAAGAAATAACAAATCTCGGGCAAATGCCATATTAGCTTTCATTGTCTCTTGTCACTTATATTTTGGATATCTCCATAATAAAAATTAATTGGATTAATAATGAGGCTGGCAAGCTGGAGATGCATCTATTCAACATAAACTATGCTTGCTCTACCCATACAAAGTTCTGCTACTTATTTTTAAATATTTTGAAGGACTGACATATTAACTTTGGTGGCATAAAACCAGAGCACCTCAGAAATAACTATAGTGCTGTATTCAAACTATGAAATCAATAAAGGAAATGAACAAAGAGAACATTAACAGTTAAAGTGCATTCCAAACATGCTAAATAAGAGTGACTCAAACCATATACAGTGCTGAAGTGTTGACTAATTTGAAACTCCTCGAACACAATAAATTCTGGCCAGTTTGTAATATATCCTGCTGGTTAAAGTCTTGACCACTGATCTATGAAATGTTCTTATTTTTAAATTAGGCTTCTAAATGAAAAATAAAAGTTTTCAATGTCAAAATATCAAGTTAAAAATATTACTACTTAAAAAACATAAAAGATAAAGTTAATCACATTCTAAATAATCATAAATAAGTAAAGTTTGATCAGCTTTCCAATAGGATACATTTATTCAGCCTACCAGAGTCTACACAGAAAGAACACACTTTTTTATATAAATTTATAAAGAGAAGGTTGGGCTAATTCTATATCACATTTGTTTAAATATATGCTTTAGAATTGCAAGTATTCTTGCAATATGTTTGAAGCCCATAATATGGAGAAGAACATGATTCTTTATAACCCATTTTATGAGGATGATCACAATATTAGCATGCAGTTTTGAAAAAACCTACCTATATGGGCTGCATATACCTACAACATCCTCGACTTCCTATTGCTAAAAATCATGCTGTCTACAAGTTGACCCCATGCACACCACACTTGGTTAAGGCCCATACCCCAATTTTAAGACAAATACCCATATTAAATCTGAGATAACATGTAATTTATACATGTAAGTTTAGAAGATCTAAATACAACACAGATTTCTCCAAATGATAATTTTTCATAATTATTTAAAAATTGCCCTACAGGAAAGGTAATTAAATATCTAAACTATAAAACACTACTTGGTACTGATCCACAGATCTATATCCTTTAGCCATCACAATCAGGGAGGCAACATAGTAATAAATAGTGGTATGGAAATTTCTTTGAAAATACTGTACACAGCTTCATAGACGGAAAATGACTTAAGTGCAGAAATAAGAAAACAATATGCTGTAAAGAAACTATTTATAAAAAAAAAAAAAAGGCAATACTTTTCTAAAGTAATTATAAAAATAAAGGCCTCATTTTGCAACATGGGTAAATACTATTCAAAATGTATTTTCGAATTAAAGTAAAAAACTAAGTTTTTTACTTTAGCCCGTTTTAAAAAATCAAACGAGCTTTGGATATATTGGTATGTGTGAATATATAAAAATTACAATTAAACAAAAGCAATAATGACAGGCAAGGCTATTATTAGTTTGTCAGAAATTACAAGATAAATTCAAAAGAATAGGATATAGAATAAACAAATAAACAAATAAATATAAACAAATAAAATTTGTGTGCCAAGGTACGGGTATGATGTTTATGGAATGAATTTTTGTTGCGTGTATGAACACTAAATTTATACGTGTAATATTGATGATTATACCTAGCAATTGATAGATAAGATAAGTGAGAGATTACAGTAAAATCACTAAGAAAATGCTATAGGAAAAGCACTGTCATGGATCATCAATAATGTAAAGGAAGTAAGACTTCTAGTGCAGTACTGACTCAATTCTAAGGAAGTGCTGCAGAGGCCAAAGTCAAGTTTACTCTTGAACATGGTTTTCAGATTTGCATTTCTTTGATATTTAGCTTTAAAACAAACATAAATACCCAAACCTAGAAAAAAGATAAAAACAAAAAATAAAAAATATATATATAGTTTGTTTCCAATTAATAAATGAAAAACAAATAACGGCAAATTTTACGGCGTCAGCTTTTCATGGCTTTGTAAACCTCAAGGTATATATTTTTTTTATACAGTTAAGTACATTTAAAGCAAATTTTGATTAACTAAAATCTTCAATATGCTGCATACTGCATTGGTAGTGTTGCCCTTAAAACTGTCCTTATACAACTTTTTTTAACTTGAAACACAAATATAGCAAAACCGCTAAACTTTTAAGTAAAATGGGCCCTAATATCTAGCAACAATGGTGATCCTCCTCCCACTGTAATATAACTATTTTGCCCTGGCAAGGAAATATAAATATGTTTTATCACAATTAATATTTATGGAGCTTTTTATAAAATCCTGTAAAACATTAAAAAAAATTAAGGGTTGAGTGAAATGAAACGCTTCTTTCTGAGCCAATCCCTTGGATTCTTCTAGACTCAGAACTCACATGATCCTCACAGGACTCTTTATCACCCTCCATGCTCTTATCAATCTGATACATATCTTTGTGAGTAGTTTACTCAAATAATATGAGGGAATAGAGACAGAGGCAAGTAACCCAAGCCACCACTAAAGGACAAGCTCACTGTGAGGTAAAAGAAAGAGCAATTATTGGAAACACATGGCATTTCAATTATTGCTTTGTCACTTATGAGTTGGTACACAAATGTTATCTCCACTGTCATCAGGTGACAACACCCATTACAGCAACAGTGTTGACAGACCTGACAATCCTCACTTTAAACTTAGGCCACCCAAGCAATCATGGGAGAAACAGGACAAAAAGTTATGGGAACTGAGGCATTGGATTAAAAAGTGAGTTATATTTAATTTCTCTCCCAATTTTTGAGCCAAGTCCTCTTGGATGCTCCCCAATGAACGCTCCCCAAGTCAACTCACCATAGCATGCAAGACAACCAGGACCTTATACAAAGAAAACAAGTGATAGAAATGGTGGGGGGATGATGTGTATGGCATATACCTAATTCTCAATTTCCAGGTTTTTATGTTCAATTTCTGTAGTAATGGAGACATTTAATAATCATGTTATGTCAAATTTCCACAAATTAAAATGACCTGTTTATTTGCTATATGTGATCCCTGAACATAAATCCTGGATATAGTCCTATCATATACAGTACCTAGTTCCTAAAACTAACATATATCTAGTTCCCAAACCCATTTCTATCACTGAACAACAACATAGGGGTTTGTAAATAAATAGACCACCACCATCCAGGGTTGCAGATAAGTAGCATGAACACCTAGAGTGTAGGAGGGCAAAAGTTGACAACATCTGGACACATAGCCCAACAACATCTGGCCACACAGTCCAACATCATCTGGCCACACATCCCAACAACATCTGCTTACACAGCCTGGCAACATTCAGAAAATCTAGCACTAGGGCCAGGAAATATATTCTTAGGGCAGAGCCACAGCACAACACCAGGAAACAAGCCTAACAGGAAAAAAACAGAAATGGAAACACCAACTTGTGAGGCAAATTTAAGAAAGAAACTGGACCCAGCATGGAATGGGAAACCCCAGGGGCTGCACCAAGCCACAACTTACCCCAGAAATCCTGAGCCAAAGTAGCAAGTACTTTAAAATGCCCCTGATTGTGTTGTGCAGTTTACAAGTATTGGCCAAGAATATCCCTTATTGTGTTGTGCAGTGGAAGGATTAAAGGATTTTTTGCACTGAACAATAGTTTACAACTAGATCTGGTCAGCTGCTAACATGGTTACCTCCTGACAGTGATTTAGGCAAACAATCCTCGCTGAAACGAACATTTGTTTGTTCCCTGAAAATTTTGCACCAAACACCAGACAACAAACTGTCTGGACCACTTAGCTATTTGTTAGAGTGAAGACCCTAGAGTGAAGACAGAGTAGAGAGTGAGTGAGTGAGTGTGTGTGTGTGTGTGTGCATGAACAGAACATGGACAGATCAGGAGTCAAGCACATAGTTCCATAGCTAAATTTACCATCAACTTCTGTACAATTAATTTTTTTTAAATTGCAGAGAACAGGTATTTAACCTGATGAACTGGTTAAAATAACAATGTTGTGTTGTGTTGTGTGTGGATGTTGTGTGACATTGTTTCAAAACTTTTTGTACAACCTCAAAAACTTAAGATTCCATGATACAAACTATATCCAATCTGAATAAGAGTATGAAAGACTTCCTGACATCTTCATACATCTATAAGGCAGAACAAAAATGAACTTGTGCAGTTCAATGAGTGATGTATTCTTTGGATGGATTATAGAAGTTATGCCATTTAGTATAACTCCTATCACCCATCCCCACAAAACACTATCCAGTCTCCAGATAATGGAGATAATGTGTTTTAATATGGTATGCCCATAAACTTCTCTTCAAAACTAGAATAATAAATATATACAAAATATGCTAAACACATGTAATAACAATGCAAGCAGCTTTGTGAAACTCGGGTCTAACTATAAATATTTCAAAACTGTCTTGTACATCATAGTTGTACAACTAAAATGAAAAAATTGTGGGAGATCTCCAAGAAGTATTCCCACTAAAAATAAATTCCAACAAACTTTGAAAACTTCACATCACATATTTGAAAAATAACAAAATGGCTCTATTACTAAAGGCAATGCAATACATTGCTTGTCAAACAGCAAAGGTATTCAAGCAAAGAAATGGGATGGCTAGAGTGTGGCTTGGAACACTCACTGACACACACCATTGCAAAACTTTAATTATACTGTTTTACCAGACATACCTGGATTGGCTTGTACACTATGCTTTTCTGTGGAAATATTAGTTGACTTAGAACTTAAAATTTTATTGAAATATTATACTCTATATAAAATATATATATATATATATATATATATATATATATATATATATATATATATATATATATATATATATATATATATATATATATATATATATATATATATATATATATATATATATATATATATATAAAAAGAAAAGCCACAACTATAGAAGGCTAACAGTGGAAGACTTTCATCCTGGTGACAGGATCTCTCTCCATCTGAAAAGGATTTGTTGTCAGGATGATAGTCCTCCACCATTAGTTTTCTACAAATGCTTTTTTTCCTTATACATTTTTCATTAGTGCATAATGCATAATATATTATATATATATATATATATATATATATATATATATATATATATATATATATATATATATATATATATATATATATATATATATATATATATATATATATATATATATATATTTATATATATATATATATATATATATATTTATATATATATATATATATATATATATATACATACTGTATATATATATATATATAATATAATATATATATATATACATACTGTATATATATATATATATATATATATATATATATATATATATATATATATATATATATATATATATATATATATATATATATATATATATATATATATATATATATATATATATATACAGTATATATATTCAGCAAAATCACAGAACACATAACCTTGGATTGCAAAAATAATAACTATTTTCCATTTTCACAGTTGGTTAGTCTTGCACATTATTTTATATGTATATACTGTACAGACAGCCATGTGCTTTATGTATGCCTTTTTTCCAAAAATTTCAGTTTCCTGATTTGGTTTTGTGCAGATAAAAAAGTTCAAATAACTGGTGGGGTAGGCAGTATGAATAAAAATGTACAATAAAGATGGAACTAGTTTGCCCAGTGACCGTACACAGCCCCACTTGAGCAGTGTTCATACATTAATGGATGGCTCAGAAGCTTAAAACTCTGGCTTGGCATTAGGTACATAAGAGTACATGGTGAAAGGCAGTCGGCTGAGGTTATTTCATCACAATTAATCTCCACTTCAGTCAACCCAACACTATCAGCATCCACCACCACCTTTTCTACCTAAATAACAATGCTCCATCAACGATAATCTTCAAGTTAACAAGCAGAGAACTTCTCATATTAGTGAATACAAACAAAATACAGTGGCACCTCAATTAACGAGTTTAATCCGTTCTGGCACCGACCTCGTTATGTGGAAAACTCGTCTTAAGAAACAAATTTCCCCATTTAAAATAAAGGAAATAAATTTAATCCGTTCTACTCCCCAAAACATCCATACTTGTATGACATTTTATAATGTAAAATATAATACTGCACACATGTAATTATAAATGTTTTGTTGTACTGTTTTCATGTTTACTTTACCTTATGAAGAGTCGTTGCTGGCTTGAGGGAGACGATGGGGAGGTGGGAAGGAGGAGATGGGTTTTGGTGTGGAAGGAGAATCCACCTCTGAGTCAGGTGGGCTCTCTCTTCTTGGGAATTTCACCCCACTGGGACCGGGTTGTGGTTCACTATCACTGGCTCTTCTTTTCTCTACTTTTGCAAAGAATGTATCTATTGACAATTGCTTTTGTCTTTGTTTTAGGATGTTCCTAAAATGAGACAGCAAATTGTCATTAAACATCTTCACACACCGGGTTGTCACTGCTTTATCAGGGCAGCTTTTCCAAGAATGCGGTCACCTTTCCAAACACTCCCAACACTTCCCTATCTCACTGGAAGAGGCAGCATCCTCCCTTACCTCCTCATCCCCTTACTAATGGTGCAAATTGTTGATGAGGACCTGCCATACTCCCTTGTGAGATCAGTCACACAGACACCACGCTCGTGCTTTGCTATAATTTCCTTCTTCACATCCACAGAAATTGTCTTTCTTCCTCTTGACAACACTATCTTTAGCAAACAGCTTCTTTGGCGACATCGTGCTTTACAAATTGTAGTCACAAAACTATAAAAACCAAAGAAAAGCACAAATAAATGCAGAGGGATGCTTGTTGTGCGCAATACAACAACAACACTTGCGTCGGAGGCGTCCGAGAATTTGCAAGAACCCACGAGATGCTACGAAGCACCATGTAGTTTTGCTCGTTAATAGAGGTGAAGCTCGTCAATAGAGACAAATTTGCTGCGAGTGGCTTGCTCGTTACTCGAAATGCTCAGAGACAGGGCTGCTCGTTAATTGAGGTGCCACTGTACTGTCGAATTCATGCAACAAAATTTTCAATTATTTTGCCCTAGCTTTTCAGGTTGATGAACCACTTATCCAAACACAACAGGTTATTCGTTCAGTCTCAGTCCCGAGGAGTTTGGAAAGCACATGGCTGTTTGTATAAGTATATGTACATATCCATGGCTTGCTAAATTTGCTGTACTTGACATTATACCTTAAATGACTTTTGATCTTTTCACAAATAAAGGTTACTTTTTTACTATTATTTAAACTCCATGGAAGTATGTTCTGTAAATTATGAAATTAGCATTAATGTATCACAAACAGTACTACCTAAAACATTTCTTTACCCAAGTTAAGATATGGTTTATGTATAACAGATTATGCAAAAGTAGGTAAGGTTTGAGGAGGCTAGTATTAGTGTAAATTTAAAAGTTTCACATCAGATTTATTTATTTAAATACACTAATTATAATGAATCTTAGTGTCTGATGTACATTTTTGTATGAAATTAGTACCATTTGTAAAAAAAAAAAAAAGCATTGAATGTAATGAAATGCCATTTTCTGGGCAAGCCCCAGAGGCTTCCTGGTACAAACCCCACATGGTAAGAAAAGTACAAAGAAAACCCGAACTGAGAGGCAGAACTCCCTCCAATCCCAAGGAAACAAACAAACGTCACACTCCACTGCTGCACCGCTTACTCACACAGCCCTCCTCTCCCCAAGAGGGGGAGGGGGGAAGCCCCGAACCTCCCCGCGCCAGTTACCCAGCACCCCAGTTCGGAAGCTGAACATCAAACAACGCGAAAAACCACCAACCAGAAGGAGGGAGGGAGGGTTGCAGGGGAGCCTCTGGGGCTCACCCAGAAAAGGGCATTTCATTACACTTAATACTGGTTTTCTGTGGGGAGTCCCTTCGGCTCCCAGGAGCTACAAAACTGAAGATAAGGAAAAGAGGAACTTACCCAAGAGGCGGCTGCCCCACACTCCTCAACATGAAGTCGAGACAACTGGCTGCAACCTGCGACCCAAAACAACACAGGAACGCCCAAGAGCAGGAACGTTAACCAAATAATGGGTGGCCAGGACCTTGTTGAACCTCCAAAATTTCTGCACCCGAATATTAGCCCAGGACATGTTGCCAAACACAGCAGCCAATGTAGCAAACTTCCTAACATTATGGGCATGAGGATAGACTGCAGGCTGGCTAGACTTAATAACCCTGTGGATGACCTGGGAGACCCGAGCCATGGAAAAGGGAAAGAGGGAAATCGAATCAACCCAAAGCACTTCCCCAGCCACCAAAGCCGAAGCGTGCAGATAACCAACCCGTCCTCTTAAAAATAACATCACTTTTCACTCGTATGCGCGCTATGGCCAAATTTGGACGTAATTTGAAATGAAATCGACTCACAAAAGTGACGTTCTGTTCCGTTTTCTATTTGAGTCGTCCCGCCTACGCGGAGAGGTTATAAGAGGACACTTTAAAATAACGTTTTTCATACCGTTTTGAAACTTTATGAGAATTTCCTGCCCACCTAACCTATCAGAGGACCCTTAACTTACTGTTGTTGAAAAAAAAAATCACAAATTTATTTTTATTTTTTTTTTCATTTTCAAATTACTGTACAGTACGTCCAAATTTGGCCATACGGGCAAACGGCCAAAAGCGACATTCTTTTTAAGAGGACAGGTTGCAGATAACAGCGAACAGCTGCAACTGGACACAACACATGATGCACCCCCCGGCCTGACCAACCAAGCATCAATGACCCAAGGACCCCCCCCGGAAAGAAGCGGTCTCGTTCTTCACCAGAAAAGAAGAAGGCTGCAACCTAACAAACCGACCACCAGGAACGAAAAAGCATAAACCCCTGTGCCAGAGGAGAGCATGAAGCTCACCGACCTGACCCACAGAGGCCAACATCAAGAGAAACAGAACCTTGGAAAAACAATCTTGAACCGAAGGGGCCACCATAATCTGAGGAGAGGAAAGATAGGAGAGCACACTGTCCAAGGGCCAGGAAAACTCAGGTGGCGTATGAACAGGCCGAAGGTGAAACAAAGCACGAGAAAGCTTATGGAACAGGGCCGAAGAGACAGCCACCCTGAACGCAAGCTGGAACGACTCCACTAGTGACGCACGATGCGTCACTAGTGGATACAAACGGTGATAAACCCGTGTCAAAAAGACCAGATGTGAACAGAGGAGGAGGAGGAGACCACACCAGTCGTGTAATGGACCAGTCTGACCTGCTGGAAGAGACAGAGCTAAGGAAAACGTCCCGGGTTCACACACCAAGCAAGCAGCGCCTGGAACCAAGACTGGGCTGGCCACCAAGTGGCCACAAGGACTATTCTGCCATGGTAGGACCCCAACCGAGCCATAAACTGAAGCAACAGCTGGACCGGGGAAAAGAGGTACAGGTAACCCCACATCAACCAGTCCTGCAAAAAGGCATCCACAGCAACAGCTTCGCAGTCGGGTAAGGGTGCCACATAAATCGTAAAATGCCAAAACCACGCCGAAATGAAGAGGTCTACGTCCAGGAGTTTGGGAGTCTAGCAGAGCCAATGGAAGGAGTCGGCATTGACCGGCCATTCCTTGGACAGGGAAATGAACCTAGACAGGCCGTACACCAGGACACTGGACACTCTCTGGATATGAACCGCATGGAGAGCCAAATCCCAAGAAGCCAGCAGACGAGCCACTTGAAGCGACCAGTCCCAAAGAGGCAATGACCAAAGAGAACCCCCACGATTCTGGCAATGAACCACTGGTGAACAGTTTGAATGGAGCCAGATAGTCGAACCTCGAGCGACCCGAAACCTCTGAAGCGACAGCCAAACTGCCGCGAACGCCCGTACCATGCTGTGACCCCTACGAAAGGGTGGACCCCATCACCCCGGGTCAGCCCGGTGAACTGGTCACAAAGCCCTGGCCGAAAGATGACACATTCGTGAATGCATCGAGTGAAGGCTCAGGTAGGCGCCATGACACTGAATCCTGAAAACCCTGAAGAGGAAGCCGGTGACGCAGCAACCGATGCAAGGCCCCTGGAGTACAAACCCAGTGATTGCAAGAGAAGCGAAGGGGGGTATTCCCGAAGGAACCAGAACAGATGCCGAAGCCAAAACCAACCCAGCAGGCAGACCAGCACGGCGAATTTCAAACGCCTGCACAACTGCTCGAGCAACAGCCGAGTGACCCGGAACACCCCAGAAACAGCTGAAGGCAAGATTGTAGCCTCAGCAAAGCCTCCAGAAGGAGAGACATGGAAGCGGTCTGAGAGTCCCAAATAAGACCCAGCAAGGTCTGAACCTGCAACAGAACCAAATAGGACTTCCTCCAGTTCACCAGGAACCCAAATCCGGCAAGCTGGGAAAGAACCACACTCCTGGTGAGCAGTCAAGTGGACCGGCTGGGAGCCCACACTAGCCAGTCGTCGAGGTAGGCCAACGGAACGTATGCCATGCCCCCAACGAAAAGATGGGACAGTTTACCAACCAGGGTGACTTCGGAACCTCGTAATGCACCCAGTAAGGAAAGGAAGAAATGAACTCAAAAGAGGCAGGATCCATTATTGCAGAGTAATCCGGGTCACACAAGAGGTAAGCTGCAATGACCTCCCGTGCCTCACGAGGCAGGATGTAAGAGGCCGAAAACTTCCAGAAAGAAAAGACTGAAGTTTCCAATGGAACCCGGGGAGGGGTTGATGCCATATCAAACTCGTACAGGGAGGGGATGATAAGAAAACCTCACCGCCTGCACAACAAGCCCCGCTCAGAGGGTACCAAAACCCAAGTGGGGTCAAACAGGTCCCAACCCCCCACCCCCCCTATATCATCCCCCTCGAGGCATCCGGGTGAGCAACCAACTTAGCATGCTGCAGCAACCTATAATGTGCATGCAACACCGAAGCTGCCTGCACCCGAATATCAAGATCAGTGGATTGGGTGAACTGGAGTATAAACAAGGAACACCACTCTCAGGACTTCGTGGCAAAGATGTCACCGACCCAACAGGCAGCATGACGGAGGCACAACACTGTTACCCTGAGACAAAGGGACAGAGCAACCCTCAAACACGCACGAAGCGAGATGGGACCCAGGGAATGTATCCATCGGACCACTAAGCCAATGTGGGTTCCCAGGGCCCTTAGATGCTCTGCTAAGGGAAGCCCGGGCAAGGGACTGTTAACCGACACCCCAAACTACCAAGCAAACTACTAATAGCTGAACCCCTGGGATGTGTACACTAACGGGAACCAAGTGGGAGGACCACCAAATATATACAAGGGGGACCAGCACCAAGGGACAGACCTTCCACCAGGCAGGAAACAAAATGTAAAAGTAAAGCCCCGCAAGAAGACAATGACCCAGGCGGAATAGAGCTGGCCACTATAATCTGGTGAAAACTAGCTGCACAGACCCTTGCAGTACAGTGACAAAACCATATACGTACCAGTGATGGTTATGTACCAAATACGGTTTATACCTGTGACGAAACTACCTCCTACCCCAGAGACAAACAGTGGTGCATGAAACACCGCAGCTGACTCCAAGGGCGGGCAATCACCAAGCAGTAAAACACCCCACAGAAGCAGACCCCAAGCAACTTGTGGAAGATAACCCAAAGCCACAAGGGCAGTACTTGCAAGGCACCTCGGGAAGGGAACCCTAGGCGCATGCAGCCCGAGTACTCGTGAAAATTACTCCTGGCTCGCACACCACAAGGCACAGCACTGGAAAATGTCTGGAACCAGAGTCGCACGACCATCAGGTCTCACTTCAGCCACAGAACTGGGGGTCTGGAGCTCCCCTTTGCCCTCCCAGGAAGGGGGGAGCTGCACAGACAGCGGCGCAGTGACGGTTGTAACGTAATGCTTGTTTGCTCGTTTTTTGTTTGGAGGAGTTCTGTCCAACAGTTCGGCTTTCAGTAGCAGTTTGTAACCAGATAGGGTTTGTTTTTGGGCGCCTACCTTTCTGGGTGACTGACCCAGTCGATAGCAGACATAGAATGCTTCCAATCACATGAGGGTTTCTATAGGCCATTGCTCCTTGTGCCTCTCTGAGGAGGCCAGGTTCTGGCGCGTGGTCCACGGTAGGCCTAAGAACTTCATTCGCTTGAGTAATGCAAGTGTCTAATGCATTCATATCAGCCCAGATAGCTCTGGGGAGCTGAAGGAGCTTTCCCCCAGAAATTCCACTTTCTCTATTTTGTCAATTCCTGTTACTATTTTGTACATATTGATCATATCACGTCTTTTCCCTCTATCTTCTAGTTTTGGCATATTTACCACTTCTAGCCTCTTCTCATAGCTCTTATTTTTTAGTTCTGGAAGTCATTTAGTAGTACTGTATATCTTTGCATCCTTTCCAGTTTATTGGTATGGTTTTTGAGATATGGCCACGATACAACTGCTGCATATTACAATTTTGGTCTAACAAATGTTGTAAACAATTTATTTAATATTTCACCATCCAAATATTTAAAAGCAACTCTTTGCCAGAGTTCTTCAAAGTCTTTTTATAATTTATAGGAAGTATACGGCTTATTTTCTACTATTCCACATTCCATAACATGCCAATTTATTCACACTCAAGTCCAACTGCCAAGTTTGTTCATTCACTTAATTTGTCCAGGTCATCTTGCAGGGAATGACAGTCATATAAGTATCTTATTTTCCTTAACAGACTAACATCAGCAAACATGTTCAGATAATGGTGTATCCACTCTGGTAGATCATTTTTGTAGACAATGAACATTACTGGTGTTATAACTAATCCTTGTGGTACTTTGCTAGTAAGATTTTTCCTGCCTGATACATTGCCTCCAGTGTGTTCCAGTTTCCAGAACAACCTCTTATATGGGACTCTGTCAGAATCCTTTTTTTTAAGTTAAGATCAATGCTAATCATCTATTTCCTCTGAGTCTATGGCTCTATCATAAACTCCAAATACTGTAGATTTGTTACACAGTATCTTCTCATTTGAAAACCAAACTACCTGTCTCATTATATCTTTTATTTTCCGGGTATTCTACCAATTTGATTTTAATTATTTTTCGTGTGATTTGACTATTATGCTTGTCAATGACAAAGAAGTTCAGATCTTCTTTCTATACTATAGATTAGGTCTATAGTTTAGAGGGTCTTCTTTCTATACTTCTATACTTCTTTCTAAACTATAGATTAGGTCTATAGTTTAGAGGGTCTTCTTTGTTACTATTTTTGTAGATTGGAGGTATGTTTGCCTTTTTCCATGTATCTGCTAGGTTCCCCAAGGTTACATTCCATTTGGCCTAATTGCTTTGTTTCTGTCTAGCTCCTTGAGCAGTTTCTCTACCTCAGCTCTAGACCCTTGAAGGTTCTATACTCTATATTGTGCTCTGGATTTCAAATTATGTCCAATTCTCTGAAAACCACATTGTGCACAAACACACACACACTGGAACTTTTCATTCATTTTTTCACACATTTTATTTTCAGTCAGTGTATGTGTGTTTCCCATTCTTAATGTATATTATTACCTAGGTATAGTTACAGGACGAGCTACACTTATGGTGTCTTGTCTTCCCAGCACTCTTTCTCATATAACGCTTTGAAACTGACGGTTTTGGTTTCCACCACCTTCTCACTTAACTTGTTCCAACCATCTACCACTCTGTGAAAGTAAATTTTCTTATATTTCTTCTACAGCTTTGTTTAGTTAGCTTAAATCTATGACCTCTTGTTCTTGAAGTTCCAGGCCTCAGGAATTGTTGCTTATCAATTTTGTCAATTTCTGTTACTATTTTGTACCTAGTGATCACATTGCCTCTTTTTCTTCTATCTTCTAGTTTTAGCATATTTAATGCCTCTAACCTGTCCTTGTAGTTCGTCTTTCAGTTCCAAGAGCCATTTAGTTGGATGTTTTTGCACCTTTTCCAGTTTGTTGATGTGCATATTAAGATATATTTGCATGTGTGTGTGTATGTGTACTCACCTAGTAAGGTGAGTACACATACACACACACACACATTGATTGCCCTAGTGATTGATGGTTGAGAGGCAGGACCAAAGAGCCAGAGCTCAACCTCTGCAAGCACAATTAGGTGAGTACAATTAGGTGAGTACACACACACAATTATATCTTAATTAACACATGTGTGTGTGTTTATGTGTGTGTGAGTGTGTATGTGTGTGTGTGTGTTTTATTTACTTTGATGCTAGAATGTGAAACTTGCAAAATTAAAATTTTAACTCAAAATATTTTTATTTAATTATATATTCTTACCATCCTTGTTACTCATGTCATAATATGACTGAAATCTGTTTAAAAATCTTAAAACTATTTTACAAACCTCCGTAGTTACGCTGGACAAGATCATGATCACACTCAGCCTCTGAGAACTGATTGGAGGCTGTAGAATTGTTTGAGTCATTCAACGAGGAACCAAGACCAGAGGAGTCAAGTGGAAGATCTCCATTACGTGGGGGAGGGGGAGGAGGAGGCTCCGGTGATCCATGGCCTGCACTTCCGGAGGTACTCCCACGGTTCACTGAAACATTAATGAAGAATTAAGCCCTACTATTTAGTATTCCATTAAATACTGTGTATTTTGCTATTTCACATATGACATTATAAAAATACCCTTTAGTTTAACAATATTACAATTTTTTTTTTAAGTTTAAAGCTAAAATGTAAGCTACTTGTTACTTATGCAAGATTTTTTTTATAAAATAACTTTTAGTACTCATCTACTAATAATGTGCATTCAATACAATGGTGTGCAAAGCTCTGTTCATGCAATAATATGTCTGAATACAGTATTTAGAAACCACAACTATATACATTATTTTCTTTATTTTGCAAAATTCCCTGGTAGCTCCTTCACCATTCATCATTCTCCAAATTCAAAAAGCTTTCACTTTTCACTTCAAAAGTAAACAATGCACATTTCCACCTACACTTTATCAATTATACTCCACTTGCTATAATTCGCCAACTAGAGCTTTACCAGTTGCATACAGTATTTCTCCATAATATCTACAGTATTTCCTTCTTTCTAATTCTTATCAAGAAAAACTCTTCTAACCCCTGTATGAAAAGTGTTTTAAATTGAAAGATAATAAAATCAATTTATTTTTACAGTTTAAGGCCATGACATACATGCAGGGCAGTATTTTAATTGTACCTATATGTCAGTTAGTGAGTATGAACTGTCCCAATTATTCTAAATTATAAAATTTTATTTTTTTTTATCTAATATTCAGTTGCACTAGTAAGTGAAACTTTACAAGCTTCATTTTATGACTTCTTAAATTATTTGGATTAGTTTTCAAACCCTGCACAACATCTGAAAAGTGTAGGGATTCAGTTCATTGAATAATATCGCCAGCTAAGTAAATCCGCGTCAATCCCTACTACATGAATGTCAAAGCTTTTATCAGACTGATCTAGCTTGACTGGAGCACGTGCATTATCTCTACTGAACTTGGTTTTACATAATTTCTTGATATACTGTACAGGCCACCCTCATGATATTTCATGTAGTTACAAATTCTTACACACTATTCACTCTCAAGAATTCTTTAAAAAGCAGGAATAAAACTTTTATGTCTGCCATTCTCCCATTTCACAAGACTCATACACAGATTCTTTGCTTTATCTCCATATTTTCCACTACTGCTGAATTAGTTCTAATGACATTGCAGAACACAAACACAATTTAAATATTTATTTTTTATGAGTGTTAATGAGCGTATATATGAATCTGTATAACTTACTTAAGAACTTATGTGCATAACCCTTAGACCAAAAGTGACCAGAGGTTGCAGCTCCAGGAAGGGGACCACCATCTGGGTGGATCCAACCATCATTATGTCATTTTATTGTCCCTCTCATGATAATTAATTATATATATATATATATATATATATATATATATATATATATATATATATATATATATATATATATATATATATATATATATATATATATATATATATATATATCTTATATATAATTAATATATATATATCAACTATCATTATGTCATTTTATTGTCCCTCTCATGATAATTATATATATATATATATATATATATATATATATATATATATATATATATTATATATATATATATATATATATAAATATATATAAATATATATATATATATATATGTCGTACCTAATAGCCAGAACGCACTTCTCAGCCTACTATTCAAGGGCCGATTTGCCTAATAAGCCAAGTTTTCATGAATTAATGTTTTTTCGTCTACCTAACCTACCTAACCTAACCTAACCTAGCTTTTTTTGGCTACCTAACCTAACCTTACCTATAAATATAGGTTAGGTTAGGTTAGGTAGGGTTGGTTAGGTTCGGTCATATATCTACGTTAATTTTAACTCCAATAAAAAAAAATTGACCTGATACATAGAGAAAAGGGTTGCTTTATCATTTCATAAGAAAAAAATTATAGTAAATATATTAATTCAGGAAAACTTGGCTTATTAGGCAAAACGGGCCTTGAATAGTAGGCTGAGAAGTGAGTTCTGGCTACTAGGTACGACATATATATATATATATATATATATATATATATATATATATATATATATATATATATATATGTATACGTGTGTGTGTGTGTAAATCACAAAAATAAACACTTGATTAAGAATGTGACAGTGTCAGACCAAGGAGTTTCAATTCTTTCTCATTAAGGAAGAATTGAAACAGGAATTTCCTTAAGTACTTTCGTATATTAATACATCTTCAAAAGGAGTCAGACTCCTTCTGAAGATGTATTAATATACGAAAGTACTTAAGGAAATTCCTGTTTCAATTCTTCCTCCATGGTCTGACACTGTATATATATATATATATATATATATATATATATATATATATATATATATATATATAAACTGTACTGTATATATAATACAGTATAGAAGGAGACAATATCCATGAGCAATTTTTGTATGTTTAACATACTATCAAATAACAAATACATTTCTTGATAATGTATTGAATAACATACAGAGAAATGCTCAGAATTATTGTTTCACTTTTATTGTAAGTATTTACATGATGTAGGTAAAGAAATGGCACTTTAAGATGAAAGTTAAATCATTCTTAAGGTTCAAAAAATTCTAAATAACCAGCAAAAACTTATGAAGTTCAGTGTAGATCCATGTCCTTAATAACTAAGTTAAGAATGTAATTACCTTCTAAGTTATTTAAATGAATAACTGTTTAAATAGACACATATAATAAATTATTCATACTAGAACCTGTTCTAGGAATATTAAAATTGGATTCCAACAAATCTACAAAAACATCTTATCAGGCATTTCATCAGCTACAGGAGTTTATAATACTGTCTAATTTTAAATACCTATGAAATAGCTGCTAATTAAATCAATAAACTGTAAGATAAAAGCTTTGAGTCAATATGAGAAGAACCTTTCTTATAATATATATATATATATATATGTGTCGTACCTAGTAGCCAGAACGCACTTCTCGCCTACTATGCAGGGCCCGATTTGCCTAATAGGCCAAGTGATTTTCTTTATTTTCAATAAATTGTTTCCAATTAGTTTATTTGAATTATTATTATTATTATATTATATTAAGACCATAATTTATTGACTTAGTTGTTTTAATTTAGGTTAAGTTAAGATAGGTTAGGTTAGGTTAAGTAGGGTTGGTTAGGTTCGGTCATACATCTTTGTTAGATTAAACTCAAATTTAAACAAATTAACTTATACATCATGAAATGGACAGATTTATCATTTCATAAGAAAAAAATTAGAAAAAATATATAAATTCAGGAAAACTTGGCTTATTAGTAAAATTGGGCCTTGCATAGTAGGCCAAGTATGATGTTCTGACTACTAGGTACAACATATATATATATATATATATATATATATATATATGTCGTACCTAGTAGCCAGAACTCACTTTTCAGCCTACAATGCAAGGCCCAATTTGCCTAATAGGCCAAGTTTTCGTGAATGAATGTTTTTTCGACGACCTAACCTACCTAACCTAACCTAACCTACCTTTTTCGGTTTCCTAACCCAACCTAACCTATAAAGATAGGTTAGGTTAGGTTAGGTAGGGTTGGTTAGGTTCGGTCATATATCTACGTTAATTTTAACTACAATAAAATAAAATTGACCTCATATATAATGAAATGGGTAGCTTTATCATTTCATAAGAAAAAAATTAGAGAAAATATATTAATTCTGGAAAACTTGGCTTATTAAGCAAATCGGGCCTTGCATAGTAGGCCGAGAAGTGCGTTCTGGCTACTAGGTACGACATATATATATATATATATATATATATATATATATATATATATATATATATATATATATATATATATATATATATATATATATATATATATATATATATATATATATATATATATATATATATTATATATATATATATATAATATATATATATCTATATATATATATATATATATATATATATATATATATATATATATATATATATATATATATATATATATATATATATATATATATATATATATATATATATATATATATATATATATATATATATATATATATATATATATATATATATATATATATATATATATATATATATATATATATATATTATATATATATATATATATATATATATATATATATATATATATATATATATATATATATATATATATATATATATATAAAACTGGAGTTTTCAGTTATATATATACATATATATGTTATGATAATCATCTGAATGATAAACAGAATTATGGCATTCAGATACTGGTGTCACAACAGCACTGACACAGCCCAGCATTCTCAACCCCAGATCAGGTCATTTTTTTCCTGATACAAACACAAAATCTTCAGGAGAGAATGCAGGAGAGAATGAAAGATAATGAGACTTGGATGCTTTTCATTACTATTTAAAATGGTATTGCACATCAAGGTGCTAAGAACTCGCCCCATCCTGTACAGCACGTTAACTGTGGAATATTTTCAGCATCTGAAACAGAACAGTGATTCTGATATGAAAGGTCTGTGATGGTATATTCTCATTTCCAAGACAATTTTTCCTGGCTGGTGTGTGGCCTGTACTTTTCTAAGTTGTCTACCTTTACCTCTCTGGCTCAGTACTCGTCTAGTTGTGCTTGTGGGGATTGTGCTTCGGCTCTTTAGTCCCGCCTCTCAACTGTCCGTCTACTGGTGTACAGCACCTGAGCTTATTGAGCTCTATCATATCTACATTTGTAATTATATATGGAGTCAGCCTCTACCACATCATTTCTTAATGCATTCCATTTATTAACTACTCTGACACTGAAAAATTTCTTTCTAATGTCTCTGTGGCCCCTTTGGGTACTCAGTTTCTGCCTGTCTACCCTTATGTGAGCACCACCCATGTTAAAGAATCTGTCCTTATCTACCCTGTCAATTCACCTAAGAATTTTATATGTGGTGATCATGTCTCCCCAAACTCTTCTGTCTTGCAGCGATATGAGATGCTATGCACATAGCCTTTCCTTGTAACTCATGCCTCTTAGTTCTGAACTAGTCTAGTGCCATACCTTTGAACCTTCTCCAGCTTTGTCTTGTGATTGACGAAGTATGGACTGCATGCTGGAGCCTCATTCTCTAAGACTGGTCTTACATATATGGTATACAAGGTTCTAAATGAAGTCTTACATAAGTTTCTAAAGAGTTCTGATGTTAGCCAGCCTTGCATATACCACTGATGATGTTTTTTTGATGTGGGCTTCAGGAGACAGAATTGGCATGAATGATATCAACTCCTAGAACTTTCTCTCCTACGACTTCGTTGTCCATTCAGTATTGTGTGTCTACCGTTTAGTCTATGTCAGTGTACACCTTCAAATGTACCCAAATGAGGCACTGCCTAGAGGATCACCTTTACCTTTATAGTAAGACTGGTGACCCATTTGTTGATATGGTCCTCAATTTGCCAAGGATATCTCGGTCAAGTAGGAAGGCTGTTCATGTAAGGCAGTTTTGATTGATTCTGGCCTTTTTGTTCATGTCTGCCACGCTACTGATCGACTGAACAGCAAACAAGACAAGTAATTTTTCCTTCCCAAATTAAAGGTGAGAACAGCAATTTTTCTTTCCACATAAGATATGGTTTGAGTTTTGGGTACTATTAGTTGCATTATCAAAATATAATAATGACTTGAGTTGCAGATTAAAAGGATGCTCATCAGGGGTTCCATGAGGTGGTAATTTACTATTGAAGACCATAATTTTAGTAATTATGCAAACACAGAATACATATAAAAAACCAGCGTTGAATGTAATGAAACGCCATTTTCTGGGTGAGCCCCGGAGGCTCCCTGGAGCTTATCGAGCTAATGTATGTTATATTAGACCGGGACAATAGCTATGGAGTTCAGACCTACCAGGGACCAGTGCCAGAACCTGGCCCCTTCAGAGAGGTTGCAGAGAGCAATGGCTCTGGAAAAAAAAAAAACTGTGGTTGGGGTGTTCCATATCTGCCATCGACTGCGGTTAGGCACCCAGAAAGGTAGGCATAGCAAAACAAACCCCACATGGTAAGAAACTAACAACAAAAACCAGAGAGGTAGAACTCCCTACAATCCCAAGGAAACAAGCAAACAAGCAAACGTAACACATTACTGCTGCGCTGCTCGTCCAAGCAGCAGTAGTGTAGGCCCCCCAGACCTCACCACGCCGGCTGCATAGCACTCCAGTTTGGAAGCTAAGCTTCAACAAACGTGAAAAAGAGCTGACTGGTTGGAGGGAGGGTTGCCAGGGAGCCTCCGGGGCTCACCCAGAAAATGGGGTTTCATTACATTCAGCGCAGGTTATCTATAGGGAGCCCCTACCGCTCCCTGGAGCTTCATACCCAAAGAGAAGGAAAAGAAAGGGCTGACCCAGATGGCAGCCACCACAAACTATGCAACATGAAGTCGAGACAACAGGTTGCAACCTGCGACCCAAAGCAACACCAGAACGCCCAGGAGCAGACATGCTCATAAAATAGCGGGCGGCCAGGAACCTGTACGACCTCCAAATCCCTGTGCCTGAAATGAACCCAAGACATGTTACCAAACACGGCAGTGAAAACTGCAAATGTCCGAACGGCACAGGCGCGAGGATAGACCACAGGCTGGCTAGACTTAACCCTACGGTTGACCTGGGAGACCCGAGCCCTGGAACAGGAAATGAGGGGAAACCGGATCAACCCAAAGCACATCCCCAGCCACGACACGCAAGTAACGGCGAAGAGCCGCAGCCAGACACGACACATGACGCACTCCCGGTCGAACCAACCAAGCATCAATAACCCAAGGAGCCCTCCGGGAGGCAGCCATCTTGGCCTTTGCAGTGAAAAAGGCTGCAAATGTACAAACCTATAACTAGAACCAAAAGAGCAGAAACCCCTGCACCGGAGGAGAGCTGGAAGCTCCCGGACCCGACCCCCAGAGGCCAATGCCAACAAATATAGGATATTTGAAAAACATACTTGAACTGAAGGGGCTACTACAAACCAAGGAGAGGACTGATAAGAGAGCACCCTGACCAAGGACCAGGACAGCTCAGGCAGTGCATGAGCAAGTCGGAGGTGCAACAAAGCACGAGAAAGCGTACGGAACGAGGCGGACGTGATGTCCACCCCGAACGTAAGCTGGGGCGGCTCCGCCAGCGCCGCACTATACATGGCGACAGTAAGAAGCATCAATACTGGTCCGGAAAACCAACAAAGGACAAGGCAACCCGATGTGAAAGAGAAGACAACCTATAAAAAGCAAGAAAATGGGGAATAGACATGCCAGGAAACTTCATACTATCACCGAGACGAATCTCGCAGGTGGGACACCATCAACAAAGCCACCTGATCACCATAGAGATGATGATACACCCGCGTCAAAAGACCAGACACGAAGAGCTGAGGAGAAGGCCGAACTAGCCACGTACCAGATTGGTCCGACCTGCTGACAGAGGTGGAGCCTCTGGGTTCGGACACCGAACAGTACACAAACCGTACGCAAAAGTACACCGTCCCAAGAGGCAATAGGAATCGGTCGCCGCATAGGTAGCAGGTCACACAACACCTTGACGCCCTAACCAGCACAATACCAGTCCCAACCCAAGGCCAAACAAGGGCCCCAAGCCCCAGCTGGCCCCAAGGGAGAGGTAAATGCCGAGCAGCAAGAACCTCTATGGGATTGGTTCCCGAACGCTCCAGGGAAGATAACCCTGTCATTCAGGGGCAGTACTCACAGGGTGCTTAGGGAAGGAAGCCCCTAAGCGCATGCAGCCCCAGTACTGATGAAGAACACCTGGCCACCGCACAACACAAAAACACAGCAGTGAGCGCCACGAAGACAAACACCGCCTAGGAAACTGAGGCCAGAGAAGTGTCTGTCCCGGTTGACATTAGCTTACGAACTGGAGTGCTATGCAGCCGGTGCAGTGAGGTCCGAGGGCCCCTCCCTCTCCCTCTCCCTCTCAGGGAGGGGAGGGCTGCACAGACGAGCAGCGCGGTAGTAGTGTGATACATTTGCTTGGTTCCTTGGGATTGTAGGGAGTTCTACCTCTCTGTTCGGTTTTTGTTGTTAGTTTCTTATCATGTGGGATTCGTTTTGTTATGCCTACCTTTCTGGGTGCTTAACCCCGGTCAATGGCAGATAAGGAAAACCCCCAACCACAGGGTTTTTTCCAGGGCCATTGCTTCCTGCAACCTCTCTGAAGGGGCCAGGTTCTGGCGCTGGTCTCTGGTAGGTCTGAACTCCATAGCTAATGTCCCGGTCTAATATAACATCCATTAGCCTGATAATCTCCAGGGAGCCTTACGGGCTCCCCACAGAAAAATGTTTTTGGTGGTGATTTTGTGAGATAAGTTATATTTTGCAATTCTAAGTTACAAGAATCTTATTACACATTCTGCACGATCGATAGTTAGATATTACATATAACAAGCAGTGTACTCTTAAATGTGATCTTTCCAATGACCTTCCTTCTACCACCATAACAGGCAATGGGAATAAGCTCTTGACTAGGCTGCATATTGCCCACGCATGCTTGACTCATGAGCACTTAATGAAAAAATGTCCTGCTCCTTATTATCTGAACTGCATTGTCCTGAACCTCCTAGTAGAATGTACCGATTTTTAGGATGATTGTGATTCTTGCTTTGCCAATGTACCTGAGACACTTGTCCTTCGGTAAAATCTTTGGTGACTCCAATGCCTTTGACGTCGCTTGTCTCAGGTCATTTTGTTCTCGTACTGGCATCCTGATTGAATCTGAGGATCTTTTGACTATCCTGCAGCATAGATGGTGCTAAATAGTCATCCCAGCTTGGAGTCTTCTTCTGACAAGTCCTTACTTTAATACATAGTGTTGAAAAATGCTGAAAAAATTACTTTCAACATATGTGAGACTAAAGTGAAATATGCATTTGTGGTATGGTGCCCGTACCTTAACAAGCAACCAAAATAAATGGAAGAAAATTAATTAAAAAAAAAAAATAATATGCCTAAATTGAAAACAAAAAATGTAAAGATATAATAATCATTCACACATTTGTAAAAGAGTATTAGAAGAGTGAGAAGGAAAAGGTTGTGAAACCAGAATTAAATACAACAACAGGCAACAGTTGAAAATTATAAGAATAAAGTGTAGGGAAAATATCAGGACGTATTGTTTTCACTTAGTGTGGTTGACAAGTTGAATAAGCTCCACGAGAAGGGAGTGTAAATCACTGGAATTTTCAAAGTATTTATGATGAAGTTGATAAAAAACCAGCATTGAATGTAATGAAATGCCATTTTCTGGGCGAGTCCCGGAGGCTTCCCAGGGCTATCCATGGCTGATATGGATACCCTAGCTAGTTTGCATCAGTCAATGTGGGTGGAGTTCTAGGCCTTCCGGGGACCACAAGCCAGAACCTGGCCCCCTCACAGAGGCACGAGGAGCAATGGCCCATAGAAATGCACATGTGATTTGGAGCATTCTATATCAGCCATCGACCGGGGAGTTCTGTCCATTCGTTTGATGATTTTCGCTGTTAACCAGAACAGGGGTTTGTTTTGTGGAGCTTACCTTTCTGGGTGCCTGTCCCGGTCGATGGCAGATATAGAATGCTCCAAATCACATGTACATTCCTATGGGCCATTTCTCCTTGTGCCTCTGTGAGGGGGGCCAGGTTCTGGCCCGTGGTTCCCGGTAGGCCTAGAACTCTACCCACATCGACTGATGCAAAATAGTTAGGGTATCCATATCAGCCATGGATAGCTCGACGGAGCTGTAGGGGCTTTCCCCAGAAAAGAAAGACCAAGTTGAGAAAAGCTCTCTTCCTGTAACTACAAGTAAGTGCAGAATTCATAGCATCTGTTATTACATTAACTTATTTCATTTATATCATATAATGTTAAATGAATTTAACCTAATACTACCTCTCCCTCCTGATATTTAAACACACATTAACACACACACACACAAACAATGCATTTAATAAAAAATAATATCTGTTTATACCAGCCTATACCAGTACTGTATATATAAAATGCATGCATTCAAGAAGTAGTGTATAATGAATTCCAAGTGCTGTACTATAAAACACAGCTAAGTACATAAATCTGAACACCAGTTTACAAATGTGCTCACTTAAACGTTTAGCAGTTCCACTCTGTGACACGGAGTCAATAGCACGAGCGTAAGGTCCACCACCAGAATATGTAGACCCACCATACTGATCACTTTCTTCATCAGATCGAGCTGGATCGTCGTAAGTCGGGGAGAAGGTGGAGTTGCTCATGCGGGAGGCAGTCATATCTCCAGGAACAGTAGAGTAGTAGGTGCTGCTTGGGGGCTGTAAGTGGAAGCAAAAAACCTTGACAACCTACACCTTGTTAAGAAAACCTAAAATACTTCCCATCATTATTATTATTGTACTAAAAGAAAACAAGAAAACCCGCTTCCATAAAATGCTGAAAATGTGAGTAAACTTCTGAAATATAAAAACCTGCTGTTAATACTTCAATTCATCATTCACTCTTAAATATTGCACCATAATGCATTCTTGAAATCATAATTTTTGTGTGTGCTATTTTTGCTTCAAAAGCAAAAATTATATAATCACAGAAATATTATACCATTGCTTCTTACTATGTTAAGCAACTATGATTACTATGATTATTAGTAAAATCATACGCTTATAAAAACAAAGGAGCATGGCAGACTTCTCATGCATACTACTATAAATAATAATATTCTACAATTTAGTAAATGGGCTTATCAAGCAATTAACACAGTGTCAGTGAAAATCAACACTGAAAAAGTCCGCAATACAAAGACTATCATTAGTTACTCATGTCTGCTACACTGGGACACAAGTTTTCGAATGAAGATGCTCCACAACTTCCTGTTGATTAAATAATGCTTCATATCCAGTCACAAGAAGAAGAGTATGGTTTTCAGACATTGCAGCATGACTGACCATTATACTCCGTCCTTTTTTTTTTTTAATTAGTGCAGAACCACTGCTTTTCCATATTGTTCTTGTAATAATTTTTGCTTGGATAACATAAAAGATGTAATATTAATTTATGACCAATCTTATGGCTAATATGGAAATATTTAAATGAATCCAATTAACAAAATACTTAAACTTTAGTGACCTAATATTTCCATGGGACGGAGTATACAAAACTGCAGATGACACTTACACCACCTGAGCCATACTCCCCAGCCACACACGAGTAGTAGTTGCCAGAACCGTGCCGAGGCTGCAAGCAAGAGACACGCAAAATTAGGAGAAGTGTTGTTGAAATCCTTATGCAGAAGAGAGGGGGCATCTTGGTAGTTTGAGCAAGATATAGGGGGCAGCATCAGGAGATGTTTTGTATGTATTAGTTACATTTGAAATATTTTGGTTATATTAATTAGCAGATTACTGGGATCTCTTACAGAGTATATAGAGATAGAAGTGAAAATCATATAATAAGTAACTCCAAGCAGATATTAATTGCAAAATAATTCCCTTAAAAGTAATTTAATCATAGAAATAAAAATAGTAAATTACCTATTAGCCACTACCATCTCCTGAATAATAATAAAGGCTTATTAGTTTCTTTAAGAGTTTAGAAATTATTAGTTATCACACTTGTATTTTATTGGTATAATATAAAATGTTTATCTTCAAGACTGAATAGTTTTTGTACTTAGAGAAAAAATTAATAATAATGTATATAAACATAATCCTAAATATAAACAGACATACAAACAGAAACAGACACAAGTAGAGTAAATAATTGGTAATAAAATTAGTGTTGAAAAAGTCATAAAATGAAAATGGGGAAGACTGAGAATAAAAGGATCAAGGAGACCTGAGACTAGCTATAAACAATAGCTAATATTAGAAAACTACATAAGTGTTAAAAGTGCCTGTGCAATATTAGCAATTTTTTTCTTTTTCTTTAAAATACATTGATGCTGAGAAATAGCCTCATATCATAACAATAGCCTCATATCAGAAACAAATAAGGCAGGACCAATGATACAACATACAAAATATAATCATCTCTGTTTTGGTGTAAATTTTGTTGGGCCTTTATCATATATTTCACAAAACTTGACACACATCTCATTTACTGTACTTCCTAGCCTAACAGCAAGTCTTCCCAATCAAACTCATCAAGGAACTTCCGAAGTTCCCCATAGTGTTGTCTCCTGAAATCAGGTTTTTCAACTGCTTCATTTTCCTTATTATCATCTAGATTATGTGAACAGACGCATTGCAAATTTTATTCCCAAAAGGACATGGTCACTTTTGCCCCAAGGGTGGAAGGTACTGGATGTCAAATATATCTTCCTCTTTCTTGGTGAATATCAAATCCAGCATGGAAGGAACATCTCCTTCACTTATCCTCGTAGCTTGTTTCACATGTTGATACATGAATTCAGGATGAAGATTACGAATCTACAGGGGCCAAAAGCCCTCTGTTCTAGGTTCGTAGGTCTAGAACTCAGCCAATGGATTTCAAGTTGAATTCACCGACTACCAGAAGTTGTGACCTATCTTTATCCGCTCTTGCTATAATCTCTCGTGATTGGTATGAGGCCCCCCTCATTTATTATCCACCTCCTTCTTTGTCCATGTATTCACCTAATTGTGCTTGCGGGGGGTTTTCTTTATCTTTCACCCATTAGGGTGAAAAAACTGTTCATTTTTGTTTCTTGCCGGTGCCAGGAATCGAACACTGGTCCACAGGATTACATGTTTAGCGTGCTGTCCATTCAGCCACCAGTGCCCCAGGTGTTGTATGATAGAGGACTGTAGGCATTTATGATTATCAGTTTATCATCCTGATAAAAAATCTCTAGTGTAATTATGTTAATTTCCCATGGACTAGGAATCATTATAATGTTTCCCTTTAGGTGTTCTTTCACTAATGAGTGAACTATGGCATTACCATAGTGGTGGCAATGCCTCCACTTTTCCTTAGCTGTGGGATAAGGAAAAGTTTCAGAGAGAAATTATGGTAAAGAAATATCTCTGACAAATTTTACGTTATTTTTTACTTTAACTAGATGAAATGGAAGTTAAAAGATTTTTTTTTGTTAAATGTTAATAGATATGCACAAAACAAAATTAAAATTATTTATTGCGAATGAAACACACTACCTAAAAACCTGCACATAAACTATTCAGTAACTTTTGAAGTTGATCATAGTGGCTATGTTAGGATAATTTGTACTTGATAAGTGGGCAAAATTTCAAGAATGCTTAAACCATTATTCTGGAAAAAGATAAATAATTAGCAAAGGGTAAAACATCTGACAGGAACCAGATGTAAACAATGGGAGAGCTAACAAATTCCATCATCAGAATAACAGAAGCAATCCTAAAGTTAAAAAACAAGAAAGGAAGAAAAAAAAGAAAAAGTAGAAACACAAGAATTAATGTAAAGGCAAGAAAGATCTGCCAGAGTCCTTTACTGGACCCCTATAACTGCTAGTAGAAGAGAGTAGCAACAAGTACCCTTACTCTATAGTTTTTCCATTATCATACACTATGCATGAAGAATAAACAGTGATTCTTGCAAGTTCATCACATCTGCTTATCTTTGTCTGATAAAGTTTCTCAAGTCTTGTTCAACTTTTATAAAGAATACAAGAATACCCAGAATACACAGTAATAGTAAATAATAATTTTATTTGGAAACTGTATTTATAAAGTCTGAATATTTTTTTATGAAAATGCAGAATACTTTAAGAGTGTGTGTTTATATGTATGTATATATATTATATATATATATATATATACATATATATATTATATATATATATATATATATATATATATATATATATATATATATATATATATATATATATATATATATATATATATATATATGACAATGTCAGACCACGGACATTTTTTTTTTTTTTCAAATTTTTTCCTCCGTGGTCTGACATTGTCACATTCTTAATCACGTGTTTATTTTCGTGATATACACACATATATATATATATATATATATATATATATATATATATATATATATATATGTCGTACCTAGTAGCCAGAACGCACTTCTCAGCCTACTATGCAAGGCCCGATTTGCCTAATAAGCCAAGTTTTCCTGAATTAATATATTTTCTCTAGTTTTTTTCTTATGAAATGATAAAGCTACCCATTTCATTATGTATGAGGTCAATTTTTTATAATTGGAGTTAAAACTAACGTAGATATATGACCGAACCTAACCAACCCTACCTAACCTAACCTAACCTATCTTTATAGGTTAGGTTAGGTTAGGTAGCGGAAAAAGTTAGGTTAGGTTAGGTTAGGTAGGTTAGGTAGTCGAAAAACAATTAATTCATGAAAACTTGGCTTATTAGGCAAATTGGGCCTTGCATAGTAGGCTGAGAAGTGCGTTCTGGCTACTAGGTACGACATATATATATATATATATATATATATATATATATATATATATATATATATATATATATATATATATATATATATATATATAAATAAGCGCAGATAATGGCAGCTTTGAAATTATAAAAGTACATGAAGCTACTTTGCAGAGGTAAGAGAGCAGCAAACAAAGAACTGTGTAGTAGTGAAATCTGGTTTTGAGGCCTATGATAATAAGCAAACACAATAACCAGGTTCTTGCCATAGCTTCTATACATACAAAGGATGTAAAGCAAAAAGCACAGAAAAATGTTACATCAACTGTGCTGTAGGCTGAGTCAGCCAGCACTCCAGTTGACAGTGGGCAGAAGCCTGTAACACAGAAAACTCTAAAAGCATATACAGAAAGTAAAATGTGACCCGGGTGCCCTTGCCACAAACTGCATAAATGACAATCCAGGCAGTAGGCTGGGGTACGGAATAGTTTACAGAGCAATTTACAAAACAAATTACACGACACGCTGGTTGGTGACTTGCTGCCACCAGCAACAGTAAGTCGCCTTAACCAACCTGGTGGCCTTCGTTCGGGGTATGGCCACAGTTATAGTCGCCAGTAACGCAGCTGTAGTAGTTGCCAGACCCATGACGTGGCTGCCGGAGCGAACATTCCGGGGGTTAATACACCAAGCAAAAACCATAAAGCAAGCACCAGTGTTGGCAGTGTTTGTAGGATTCTCCACACTAACATGCATTTCATACTAACACAAAGCAGACCTCTATTCACACAATACTCAAAGCTCCTTCATGTAAATTAACCAAGATACTAATTATATGTTGTATATGAATCCCCATATTTTAATTTCCCTTCCAATCGGTGATAACCAAAATGCCAGCAAAGGAGCTTTGTAATAAGATATATTAGCTGATAATTCATCTGTATAGAGGAATTTATAAGTGGAACTAAAACTATGGAAAAAAAGTTTCATTACTGAAACAGAAAGATTAATTAGCAGCCATTCCAGTGAGTTGATAATTTGTTAAGGAATTTATGGTCTTTGTAAATTAAAATTTAAGGGAAAGGGTAATTACCTAGCTCATTACTGCTAGTTCTAACTTTTAAATATAAAATTTTGATCAAAACCAGATATTCTCAAACTGTTGACAAATATACCATGGATAAACCTAAAACAAGTACCCTGTATACAGTAAAATCCTGAAGTTCAATAATATTAACACTTCCCTTGAAAAACTCGGTCACTGAAAATCAGTATTGATACCATCAGAGGTATTCAGTCATGCTGCAGTATTCAACCTAACTAGAAATGTTAGCTACAATGCTAAATAAATTAAAACATTTTGTCCTATATTTAAGATAAAATATGGAAAGACAAAAGAATGGAAACAAAGTTCTCAACATTTCCTATAATAATCATTGGGATCAAAAGGAAAATTAATTATATCGTTCTATTGTTTAACTAGCAGCTACATTCACTGCCATCAGGTGGCAGCACTAGCTACCAAAGCAGGGTTAAGGGAGTCTTCAGGACCTTACTTAAAAATCCAGGACACCAAAGCACACTCAAGATGTTTGGACTATAATGGCATGAATGAGAGCAACCAACAGACAGGCTCCATGAGCTTTTAACTCCACTTAACACCCTATAGCTGAGCTAAGTCTACTAGGAGGCTCACCTACCTAACTCACCATGGTGCAAATTACTACAGAACCTAAAGACAAAGAAACAGGGGGACCTTATCTGAACAGCTACCAGACAGGGGTTGAACCAAAAGAGAGAGAAGGTGACCTGGAACAGATGATGTGCCAAAACATCATCACTTCCATATCATTTCATGTGTGTGTGTGGGTCGGGGTATTTATTTCAGCCATGTTACTGTACCTTATTCTCTGTCTATAAATATTTGTTGAAGACTGAACCAGAACGTGCTCGAAAAATTCAGGATTTTGCTGTATACTGTACATAACACAAACAACTATAACCTCAACTTATCATTTTTTTACTTTCCTTCCCCATCATTTATTTACAATTTTACCTTCTTTTTACACTGTACAGAGTTCAAGTGTTGCCACCTGGCTGTGTTCCAGACACCTCAAGGCATAAGGCAAAAACAGCTTTCTTCTTACCTGTTTCCTTGCAGAATTTTTTTTTACTGAATTTTTATGCTTTAAAAGATTTTAACTCTATGCAATGTACATATGGTAATTATAATATTAAAAATAGAATAACATTACTTAAAACACAATTCTAAATTATATAATTTTCAATAAATCCTAAGGTAACGACTTCACAGAGTAGCAATAAAATATTTTGATTAAGTAAATATTTTATTAATAACATATAAGAAAGCATTAAAGTTCAGCACATACCACTCATGATAAGAAAAGGTTCAGCTAACATGTAGGCTTATACTGCACTATAACAATATATTCATGCAAATAACTGGCAGTATAGTTCTGAACATATATATAAATCCACCAGAACTAAAGGGAAAGTTGCACAAAGGTGTTAGCCTCTCTTGTTCCATAACAAAAAGGCATTATGTTGATAAGTGTATATACTAAAACTAAATATGAGCCATCATTATCTAATGCTAACTTTTAATTTGTTTAGTACACAAAAGAGGCTAAAATTAAAATCATTTCATCCCCAAAAGTCATACCTAAAACCGAACATTCCCACACAGTCAATGAACCATACAAACAATTCACTTACCATACTCCTAGAAGCAGGAGAGTTGACAAAGTTTTGCTGAGACCCATGACCATTCTGGTAAGGGAAGGTCTGGAAGTTGTTACCGGCCTGTTGGGGGTCCATTTCCTCACGGAATCCAAGGAGGTGGAAAGTTGCGTATGGACAGATTTCGTCATCTCCACCTAAATATTTGAGTTTATTACTAAAACCAAAAGTATGATTGAAGTTTCCAAAAATAATTAAGAAAAAATATAAAGAATTTATCAACCAGAATTATGTCTGAGGCTAACTTATGTTTGAATTACTGTTAAAGACTATGTTTACAGCATATATAAACTAAAAAATGTTATTACAAACTTTTTACAACTTTCTCATATAGAATTAAAACATTATTAGCTTTACCAATTATGACTGAAAATATCCTTGCTGATATCTGATGGATATCAATTTTTTCTTTAATAATGAATATATGGTTTTCAACTTAAAATTTTACATTTAAAGTACACAATTAAACGTTTTCAAGTCGTCAACTAATTCAAACATAAATTAATGTCATAAAACAAATTAAGCAATACAGTTCACAGAAAACTGTGTTTTTGACCAATCAGTACAGTAATTATCAAAAGATACTTTCTAAAGTGACTAGGAAAAGGTATTTGGAAAAAAATAGGATCCTGATACTTTTTGTAAGTAGGAACTGAAATTAAGTTATGAAGGAAGTACATATTCATAGGAAGACAATGAGAAACAAGATACTGTTTACACAGGAAGAAACAAAAAAAAAGGAACATGTAGGAAGACAATGAGGAAAAAGTTCCATAAGAAGACAGTGACAAAAAGAGAGATACATAGGAAGCCAATGAGAAGATACATATACGAAGACAATGAGAAGAAAGATACATATAGGAAGACAATAAGAGGAGAAAAAAAGAGAAAAAAAGGAAGGCAATATGAATTACACAAATAAATGATCAAACAAAATTTCTGTCACTGATCAATACAAATTTCCAATTTGTACATTCATCAGCCATATTAACTACACAAATATTGTGAAATACACAGTGCAATAATACCCATCCTGAACTGCCATTATAGAAATTAATGCTGCATTTATAAACATTTTTAAATATTTTATATAATAAGAGCTATTATATTAAACCTTTCATCTCTACATGCAAACAATGTTAAATTTATACAATATTTATTTGCTTACAAGTTTTAACACAAATTTAAACCTCACATCAGTTTTAGTTTCAATTGTTTCTTATAGCCTTATATACTTAAATAATTTGATTATAAAACTTTTATATTATAAAACAAATATTATCTACACCTAATTGTATGATTATTTTGTCGTGCTTACCTATAGGAAAGGCATATCAGTTCTAAACCCGCACCTTACAGCTATTATAACTGGTGTGTTTATATCTCAACTCTCTAGTACACTAGCCAAACGTGCTCTTTAAGCTGTGCATAGTGGTTCCAGTTCATTTGACCTATTTACCACTCACTCTTTATGAGCATTTGCTTACATTTTTCTGGCTCGTCTGTGCTTTTCACTTTCAAATGTGCCCCCTCGTGCTGGTGCTCTATGTCTATTACCCTTAGTATCTTGTATTTTGTGATGATACTGCCTCTTATCTTCTTTTTTGTCATTAGATTTAGTTTTCTCAATCTGGTCTTGCAGCTCATTTCTTTCATCTTTTGTCTGATGACAAAACTTTGAACTTTATATATATATATGTATGTGTGGGTACAATATATGTATGTGTATGCATGGAGACGATGAGTTACAATAACATGGCTAAAGATATGATAACCAAACTACACATCAGGAGATGGGGAATGATGATGTTTAGGTCCATCCTGGACCATAATCAAGTCGAGTGTGAACTCCTCACATATGACTTGACAATGGTCCAGGATGGACTGAAATTTCGTAATTTCTCCATCTTCTGATGTGTGGTTTGGTCATGATGTGTACACATGTTTTTTATCTAATAGCCAAAACTGTACAATTAAGCTTAGGAATGTCTTGCCTAACACCAAGAACTATTTTGCATATTTTCAAATAACTTTTCAAACTTAGTTCACCCTAAATAATATAAATATAATATATTAACAACATGAATTACTAACTTAGCTATGTCTAATTTTACTTATATTAGGCAATGTATTGAGGAAAATCAACATATTTAGGCTACATTGCTAAGTTAAATTTGGATCCAAATACATAAAAATTTAATTATGTTCATAGAATTAAACAAGTCTCTGGTGAGTGGTAGATGTCTAGAGATGAAGTTTTCTAGAGACTGGAAGGTTTCTAGAGACTGACAAGTGTCTGACGATTAACACTTTTCTGGCAACTGGCAAGTGTTTAAATTTAATGCAAAATTTGATTGGCAAGTGTTTGGTGACTGGCAAGCATTTGTCAGCTGCCAAGTGTTTGATGACTGAAAGGTGTCTAGTTACTGGCAAGTGTTTGGTGATTGTCTTACCTGGATCTTATCAGGAGAGAGTTCTGGGTGTTCTACTCCCCAAGCCCAGCCTGGGGTCAGGCTTGACTTGTGAGAGTCTGACAAGTGTCTGGGAAGTATCTAGTGACTGTAAAGTGTTTGATGACTAGCTAGTGTTTGATGACTAGCTAGTGTTTGATGACTAGCTAGTGTTTGATGACTAGCTAGTGTTTGATGACTAACCAGTGTTTGATGACTACCCAATGTCTGGTGACTGACAAGTGTTCAATTGTTGACATGTATCTAGCAAGTATCTGTTGGCATCTGGTGATCAAGATCTTTCATCATTATTCACTTTGTCTCCATTTCTACAGCAATTTATTTTATCATCACATTTTATTGTACTCGCACAGCTTTCTTAACTAAATGTATATAAATAATACTTAACTGTACTGATTATGTAACTGTAGTTAAAGTGTCACAAGTCACAGGACATGGATAGTAAACCATCACTCGTTGGACTCCACTTTGTTGTGCTTTGATCTACTTGTGCATTATTATTATTAACTATCATTATTATTATTATTATTATTATTATTATCATTATTATTATTATCATTATTATTATTATTATTATTATTATTAATGGTGTTATTGTTGGAGGGTAATCCTTAGATGCTTTGATTCTACAAACACGGGTGAACACACACACAAAAAATGACATTTCTAACTATTTCAAAAATCTTCATTACAAATAAAAATAAACCACTTAAAAGCACATGTACTGAAACTTGATTTCTGTAGTATAGAACTTTTTAGTAGGTGACTTTGCTGCTTGTTCTGGTTGTTGTGGCATCAATCACTGGTAACTCAACATTTCCAAAACCTGTGTCCCTTGTGAATTGGGTAAACACTGTCTTAGAGCAGGTAGTATACATACGGCACAGGAAAATCAACTACTTTAGTGACGAAACTTATTGATAGCTAAAGAGCTAAGATTATTCTATGGGTTAATATTTACACACCAGACAATTGCATTCTCAATCTAGCCAGGTTTACAGTCATTTACAAAGATACTCCAGTAACAGCATATTATCATATTAAAAGTTTACAATACAGAATATTTAGTAGATATACAATATATACAATTTATCATACATACAAAAGAAATATCAAAATACTGTATTTCTATTTTAACTTTAGATCATACTTAACACAGTATGCAAACTCTTAATACAGCCAATGTTTACTTACCACTTGTATGTGGAGCAGGAACTAAACTGTACATGCAATACACAAGCAGGTTAATCAAGCATGCTCAAGTGCGTATTAGCAGGCGGGCCAAGTGCTATGTATTTTTACCTACGTGAAGAACTGAGAACGGAAGGTTGATGATCTCTCTTTTATTTGGTTACAACACACTTAAATAGTTAATATCACTGCAAATATTAATTGTAGCTGGTAAAAAAAAAAGTGTAACTTATTTTGACAAGTGGTAATGTTAAGCGATGTGTTAAAAACTTCTAGCAGAATTTTGAAAGAAGCCTTCCTGCAGACACACATTACAGTGATTTTAGAGTAGTATAAAACATTTTCATTCAATGTTGGATCAACTAATACAGTAGAACCTCGAGTGACGACTGCCTCAAATGGCGACCAATCTGGGTAAAGAATGCCCCAATCGCCGACAATTCGTCTTGTTAGGCAGCCGCTCGTTTGAATAACGTCAACACCACATGGTGGGGTCGCGGGCGGTTTCTCGCACATTCTCGGATGTCTCCGACGATGCAAATAAATTTTTCTTCTTTGTTTAAAGATGCTATTGATGGTGGGATGTTGCAAAGCATTGATTTTTTTGTAGAAAAATGAAATTAATTTTTTTAAAGAAAGAACAAATATCAAAAAGGCTCGTTCGGTATTTGTCAGGTAGACTGCTCCATGTTTCTTAAAAAAAAAAATGAAAAAAAAGAAGAATTTTGAAAAACAGAACAAATGTCAAAAAGGTTTGTTCGGTGTTCGGCAGGTAGGCTGCTCCATGTTTCTTAAATAAAAAAATAAAAAAAGATGAAACAATTTGAAAAATGGACAAATGCCATAATGGTTCGTTCAGTGTTTGTTGGGTAGACTGCTCCAATATTGAGAAATAAATGAAAAATACAAAACAAATATAACACATTTGAAACACAGAAAGATTGTCATAATGGAGCAATCTACCCGACAAACACTGAATGAACCTTTATGACATTTGTCTGTTTTTCAATTTGTTTCAACTGTTTTTGTTATTTTTCATTTTTTTTTTTAATTTAAGAAACATGGAGCAGCCTATCTGCCGAACACCGAACAAACCTTTTTGACATTTGTTCTGTTTTTTTCAAAATTCTTCATTTTTTTTTTAATTAACATGTAGCAGCCTACCTGACAAACACCGAAAGAACCTTTTGCTATATAAAAAATGAAAAAAAAAATTGAACAAATTTGAAGAAAGAAAAATGTCATAAAAGTTAGTTCAGTGTATGTAAGGTAGGCTGCTCCATTATTTAAAACATCGAATATCATATTGATGTTTTTTGATGGTAGAACGGATTATTTCTATTTACATTCTTTTCAATCGGGAACTTCGTTTTGAATGACGTCAGTTTCACATGACAACCACGGCGCTGAAACGGATTAAAGTCGTCATTCGTGGTTCCACTGTATTTAAAACCTGTTCTGTAGATCTTCATCTGTTGTTTTTATTGATAATGGATTTACTCATAGAACTAAGTGTGTATAAAGAATCTTTTCCCCTAATTTTATTGTGATAATTACTGTATCTCCTAACCTCAAAGTACTAAGAGTAAAATATTTGCCGATTTATATTTTGTTATTAAATAAAAGATTCCTTTGTAACTTTCTTTAAAAAACAAATATATTTAATAAATAAAATAGTTATTGATTTATTTATTATTTATTGATTTTGATTTAAAAATGAATAAAGATTATCTCAAGAAAAATGATGTACTATTTTGTTTAACTAATGATGCATGAAAAGTTAATGAAATAAGAGATGATAAAAAAAAGCATTAAAGATGAATGAAAAAGTTATCTTTGAATAACAACTCAACTCTTACTATGAAAAAATATGAAATAGCTTTTGATTAGTGTGGGAGCCAAGGCCTCGTTGTTCAGAATGACAGGCACATGTGCTTTCCTGTAAGTGCCCCTCTTCCTAGCCTTTTATGTCTGGCGCACTAATTCTCTCTCCCAACACTAATGTTTTCATCATATTTTCCTTAAAAATGTGGATGGAATTTGATTCAACAGCCTCTTTTAATGCATTCCACTTACCAACCACCCATACAGGGGAACGAGAACTTTTTTACATCTCTACAACGTGACTGCATGACCTGCTTTTATTGAGGTCTCCTTTGTCTTATATCCTTTTGATTTCAATATACTGCCTTTGTCCCCTTTGTCTATTTCAATCAGAATCTTGTATGTAGTGATCATATCCTCTCTCATTCTTCTCTCCTCTAAGGTACTAATCTAGGACGGATTCCTTTTGTGCATCACATGGTGTCAGCTCCATGACTGTGCTACATATTTAAGTAATAGTCTTTGATGATGAGACTTGGAAACCTTGTTTAGATTCTTAAATGATATTTGTATTTTTGTTAACTTTCCATATGATGCTGATGTTTTTTTGTTCATATGAGCATCTGGTGTTAGTGTTGGAATTATCTTGTCTTTTCCATGTCTTTTTTTTAGTATTTCTTGTAATTGCTTTCCCATTATTATGTAGTTAATTAGTTTCTTATCTCCCTTACCCACTTTCTACTTGTTTGGACTGAATTCCAGCAGTCAATTATCAGCCCACTCCTGAAGTTTGTCAAGGTCTTCTTGTAGCACCCTTCAGTCCTCTTAAGTTCTTAGTTCCCTTCATCAACTTTGCATCATCTGTAAATATAGACACGTACAACCTCAGTCCTTCTGGGAAATCATGAACATAAATTAGAACACTGTCCACTCCTTTCCAGTCTGACATATATCCTCTTTGACTAAGACCCTTTGTCTCCTCTCCATCAGGTACTCCTGTACCCAGTCCTGTGCCTTTTCTGATATTCCTGCTTGTCCTTTCATCTTGTGTAAATCTTTGTGAGGGACTATCAAAAGCTTTCTGAGAGTCTTTCTTATATTTTTTGGCACCTTTGTTTCTTTAGCTTGTATTTTTGACCTCCTGTTGTTGAAATTGAAAGGGTAAAAAATTCCTGTCTGTCTATTTTGAGTCCTGTTACTATTTTGAATGTAGTGATCATAGTGCCTCTTTTCCTTCTTTCTTGCTTTGGCATATTTCACACCTCTAGTCTCTCCTTGTCGCTCTTGCTTTTCAGTTCCAAAAGCCATTTAGTAGCATGTCTTTGCATCTTTTCCAGTTTATTGTGCCATTTTTTTAAATATGGGCATCATGCAACTGATGCATATCCCCATTTTGGTCTCACAAAAGTAAATAATTTCTTTAGCACAGTATTTCATTGACCATGTATTTAAAAGCAATTCTATATTTTGGAAAGTGTAGCACAGGTTCCTTGCACAAGGTCCATTATGTGGTCCTCTGGTGACAGTTTACTATCCAGAACCACCCCTAGATCCCTTTCTTTGTCAAAGTTCTTTAATGTCTTTTCACATAATTTGCAGGTTGGATGTAGCCTATTTTCTCCTATTCAACATTCCATAATGTGACATTTAAGACATTGAATTACATCTGCCAAGTGTTGCTTCATTCACTTACTTTGTCAAAGTCATCATGAGGGGAATGACAGTCATCAAAGTCTCTTATATTTCCTAGTAGCTTAGCATCATCAGCAAACATGTTCATATAACTCAGTATCCCCCTCTGATGGACAATTTATATAGACAATGAACATTATTGGTACTAGAACTGAACTTTGTGGTACTCTGGTAGTACCATTTCTAAAGTCTGATACATTGCCTCTGATTACTAAATGCATATCAACACAACTATATCTTTCCTATAAGATCTCTGTGGCTTTATCATTAAAAACTAAGTACATTTGTTAAATAAAACCTTCCTGCTTGAAAGACATACTGACTATGTCTGTTATTTTGTTATACTGTATTTACATTGGTGGGGGGGGGAACCATTTTTATATTTCTCCTTTAGCATTGTTCCTATAACCTTTTAGATTTTGCTTAAGGATGCATCATAGCTTCTTTTTTGTTTTATCTTGATCTATCTAATTACTGTCCTAGTCACTTGTTATTATTGTATGAGGATTAGTTGCCACAAGAGGCATGCAGACTGCATGCCTCTTGTGGCTAGTATCATGGTTCGGAATTCAAATCAGGGTGCAGACCTGACCTCAGTGGGCTTGTCATAGTTACCATTTTTTTGCTCTTTGGAAGAAGGGGCTTATTTTCCTTCTTTAGCATTGGAACCAGATGGTTATTCAGTGGGATTAATACACAAGACAGCCAGGGAAACACTTGTACTATCACCCATATATGATACAACATATTGACACATATCATGGCATTAACACTAGCTTCTCCCTATGCCCTGATGACAAGTTCAAGGATAACGGCATTCAAAATACTTGAGACATGCTTGACCTAGGAATTAAACATGATTATTATTGGATATGAATTCAGGACATCCCTAATGTGTCACTGTTCTCAAAAACGTTCCCAATGTTATTATTGTGATTGAATACATCTTTTGCTCATTAATCATACTTTTCCCCTCTCATTTTGAGGTATGATATAATTAAAATAATATAAAATATCTTGCTTCCCAACTCTTAAAAACTTGTGAGTGCTCACAGCTCCACAGCAAGATGCAAATAGTTTCTGAAGAATGCTGTGCATTAGGTAATTTGTCAAACAGGCAAAACAGCAAATGATTGCATGCATTTTGAAAAATTCAAATGAATGAAAAAGATAGAAAGAACTGACAAATGTTTAAAGTAAATATAAGAAAAAGGGTATGTAGTAATTTTGAAAGATTAACTAATACGAAGCATGTATGGCAAACAACCAAATGTCATTCATAATATATCTGTGCCCAAACAATAGAAAGGGATGACTGCGATCAGTCAAACTATAAGAAAGTTGATACTGCTGTAATTTAAATAACCTAAACTGTGGAACTATATTACAATCAAATAAATTCTTGTCCAATTGTATTGTAGAAATACTTATAAACTTTGGTAAACTCACTGGTGCTGCACACATTACTTAAGCCATCTCGTTTCTGAATACTTAATACCAAAATCAATGTTCAAAGTCTATAAATAGCTCTCCAAACTAAAAATTTTGTATAAAATGTTAACATATCACTGAGTGGCTGATGATGATGGATCAATTAGACAGCAAGAATAGACCCCCTCCCAAATTATAAATAAGAAGTAAAAAATGGCTTAGTACATTGGTTTAATATAAATATTTTCCACAATATATATATATATATATATATATATATATATATATATATATATATATATATATATATTTATATTATAACATTTTTATAATAATAAATATTTTTAATAGTCATTTACATTTCTCTGTTCTTTTTTCATATAGTGTTTTCTGGATTGGTTACAGGATAAAAAAAAAAATTCATTAAGAACAACTGATTAAACTGACATACCATTATTCTCAGACTCAAATTACTGAACTGCACAGAAATGAGAAACAATGCTACCTTAAAACAAGATCATAGTTTGCAGCAACAATACAGCCTTGATTTATTAAATTCATCCTCCGTTCTCGTTCCCATGCACTACTCAGCAAACCTCACCTGATCTCAGGGTGTCCTGGGAACCATGAGGTGGATGAGGCCCTCCAGGGGGAATACGTCGTCCAGGGGGAGGATGGAGGGAGAGTTCCTCGTACATAGGGCGTCTTGGGTCCCAGGTGGCATGTGTGCCGCGACCCGACCCCCCACCTAGAGAGACAACCAACAGCCGCCCACTCAACACACAAGAAGCGCAACACAAACTACATCAAGCGGTATTTGAGTTTGCCACAGCCATACTACACAGTCCTTAAGTTCAGGATGTTTCATTCTTGTATTTTGTATTTTATAGGCACATAAATTAATACCGAATTAAAAAAAATATCATGCAATTCTACATACCCAGTAGGTAGAATTATTTATAGCAGAAAATTATCAAGTGGTGTTATGTTTTCTTGATAAAGACACAAGCTTTATGGCAGTGACAGTTTTGACTAAGCCAGTAGAGATAAAGAGCTGGTCCTAGCTTAGGTCTGGTTACTCTCAGGTAGAGTCAGAGGGAGGCAAGAATAAAAACATAGAAGCAAGACAAGTCTAAAGACAGCAAATTAGTTAAAAAATATTTGCATATGCTGTCCTTATAACATAACTTTTGCACACAGAAGAAAAAGATTCAAGAATGAAGTTACACTATGAGTAACTATATTCCAGTAGCCACACAACATTGAAGTGATGGTAGTCTAACATCGTGTGGCTGCTGTTAACGGAGTGCAGTCACTCATTATTTTGACATTTTGATACAAATAATGAGATATTAAATATATTCAGAAGATGGCCATGCTTGAAATTTTTGCTATGCTCAGTTAAAATTATTAATAATCTTTTATCTTTACATAATATACATCTTGTGTAAGTAATATTAATTCACAAAAAGATGATTGTAGAAACTAATGACTACAGCAAAATTTAGATAATTCAAATAATTTTAATTCCATTAGATAACGGAATAATTAATAATTTTTAACCGATTTATAATTTTGTCTTTTATGAGCTTAACAAAAACTTTATGAGAAATAAGTCTCCTGAAGAATCAAAATAAAGAAAGACTGTTATCTATTATCATCTGTTATCTAACTTAACTTTTATACTGAGCTGTACTACAGTGTCAGTTTAGGAATAGCATTCGTTAGGCAATTCTTCTGTTAAAGATAAATTTAACAAATCCTAAATTTTTATGTAACTCATCACTGAATGAGGATTTTATATCACTGACAAAAACTGAACCTTTATAATCTACATAGTCTTCCTGGCTTGGTGCCTTCTTTTGATAATTACTTTGCCCTCAAATAAAAATTAATACAGTACAATAGTTCGATTTGCTAAAGCAAAATGTATTTAAGAAATTCAAAGAAAATTGTGTTAGAAAGTGATACAACCACTGTAACATGGTTAGTTCCTTAGGCAATATCCAGCTTATTCGATGGCAATGCCAACTCTAGAAAGGGCCAGTGCTATCTTTGCAGGCAATTACACTAACACCTTGGGTTCCGAGAGAATGGACACCCGAGCTGAGCAATGCACTTCAATTACTTTTTCAGATATCTTCATGTACAGGAATCTTAGCAGATACAGTATATGGAAAAAGACAAACATAGTTCCAATCTACAAAAGAATAGCAGCAGAAAAGACCCTCTAAATTATTGACACGTATTGTTGTTGTCAAGCAGGGTAGTCAAAACACTTGAAAAAATAATTAAACCAACCAGTACAATAACTGGAGACAAAATGATACAATAACAGAGATAGTATGGCTTTTGAACAGGAAAATCTTCTGTGACAAATCTACAGTACTTAGTTTTTATGATAGAGCCACTGAAATTTTACAGGAAACAGATGGTTGGATTGACTGTATTTACTTATACGGTACCTAAAAAACACTCTTGATAGAGTCCAACAATAGAGGTTACTTTGGAAATTGGAACACGCTGGAAGGCTGACTGGCAGATGAAAAACTTTCTGATAGAAAGATTTGGGTGGTAACCCGAGTCAATGTATCAAACTGGAGAAACGTTACTAGTGGAGTTCATCATCAGTGGAGTAATGTTCATCATCTATATAAACGATCTACCAGAAGGAATACAAACTATGTGAACATGTTTCCTAATCATACTATGCAACTAGGAAGATTAGAGATGATACGATTATTATGCCCTTCAAGATGACCTAGACAAAGTAAATGTGAGGAGCAACACTTGGCAAATGAAATTCAAAAATAAATAAATGCAATGTTATAGCATGTGGAATAGGAGAAAATAAGTGACACACAACCAACAAGTTGCAGTATGTGGAAAGGCATCAAAGAACTCTGTCAAAGATCTGGGGTGGTTCTGGATGGTAGACTGTCACCAGCATATTCTATGCTTTTCAACTACAGAATCACTTTTAAATACATGGATGGTGAAATATTAAGAAATTTGTTCACGAATTTTGTGAGACAATAAATTGGAATATGCAAAAGTTTTATGGTGTCCATATCTCAAGAACATCACCAATATAATGGAAAAGAAGATGCAAAGACATGCCACAAAAAAAAGGCTTCCAGAACAGAAAAACAATAACTATGAGGAGAGGCTAGAAGTTTTAAATATATCAAAGCTTGATGATAGAAGGAGAAAAGAGGTGACATGATCACAACAAATGAAATACAGTAGTAACAGGAATTGACAAAATTGACACAGAGGAATCCTTGAAACCTGCAACTTCATGAACAAGATATCCAAGATTCAAGCTAAGGAAACAAAGGCACCAAAACAATGTTTAAAAGTTCTCTTTTGCAGAGTGGTAGATAGTTGGAAAAGTTAGATAAGGTGGTGAATGCCAAACTTTCAGTAGTTTCAAAATGCCATATGACAAAGAATACTGTGAAGATGGGACACCATGGGTGGAGCTCTCATCCTGTAACTACACTTAAGTAATTACATTTAAATAATTACATACGAAGTGCTCACTTAATCATGGGCCCCAGCACATGAAACTAACACTTCTAAGGATAAAACTGTCATTTAAAAAGAAAGCCCCTTACTTGCTAGTATAGATCCACAAGAAAAGAATTCAGGTAACAAAAATGTACAATCTGATGGTCATCAGGGCTTGATTGAAAATTATCAAGGGTCTCCCTTACTCTATACATGACCCAAGAAGAATTATTTTAAGATATCGTCACTGTGTAGGGATGCAAAAGTCATACTGGCCCTGGCTGAAGTCCACAATGTTCCTTGAAAGGCAGTCTATATACTGCCAAAGGTAGTAATCAAGGGAATAATGTCAAAAATACATATTCAGTATATATGTATATATAAATATGTAAAATTCTACCAGGATTCAAAATCTTATGACAGTGAAACCAGCCTTACTAAAGGAAAATACTGTATATGGTATAGAACACCTTACTGATATAAGTAAATCTATGTTTAAGATACACAAAGAATTTTCATGCCAAATTTCATGAATCTGTGATGTTCTTAGAAAACTAGAAAATTGTATTAAATTCCAATTAAAGAAATGTCTTCTTAATACTAAATTACCAACACATGCTAGGTAATGCATGATATCTCCTATAAAATCTTACAAAAAAAATTAAAGATTGTCAATATAAAAAGATTTTACAAAGGTAGCATGCTGTATAGTGAGATTAAGAAGCAAATCCTCATTTATTTTAAGTTTTATGAATTAGTTCTCTTTCAATAATTATTATGTCCCTAGTTTCATATACTGTATAGTAATTTGCTCATAAATCATACCCAATTCCAATATGAACACTGGAATGTACATTCAATGTGAGCAATGATGCAGTAAGGTACACAAAAACAAATAATTACATTGTAATTAGAAACTATATAATAATTAATATTATTAGTGTCTAATTACAGTATTTATATTACTATATAAATAATTATATAACCAATCAAAGTTCAGTAACAATAAAAGCCAAACAAATTATTTAGCAAAATTATTATGTCATTCTATCTGCACTCACTTCTTCCATGATAGAGCAATGGCCCTGGAAAACCCTCTTGTGATTGGGGGGTTTTCCTTATCTGCCCTTGACCAGGGTTAGGCACCCAGAAGGGTAGGCATAACAAAACAAACTCCACACGATAAGAAAATTACAACAAAAACTGAAAGAGAGACAGAACTCTCTCCAATCCCATGGAAACAAGCAAACAAACAAAGGTCACACTCCACCGTTGCATCGCTCGTCCGTGCAGCCCTCCCTGCCTCGCGCCAGCTACCTAGCACTCCAGTTCGTTTGCTAATGTGGTCCGGGGCGAACATTTTCTTTGGCCTTAAATTCCAAAGCGGTGTTTTGCCTATGTGGCAACCTCTGCGGTGTTGTTGTGTGTGGTGGCCAGGTGTCCTCAAAAGTACTGGGACTACATGCGCTTAGGGGTATCCTTCCCTAGGTGCCCTGTGAATACTGCCCTTGCATGTTAGAGTTCTCTTCCCTGGTACGTTCGGGAATTATTTCCATAGGTTTTTCTGCTCAGCATTTACCCCGCCCTTGGGGCCAGCTGGGGTTTTGTGGCATTTGTTTGGCCTTAGGTAGGGAGTGGTAGCATGCTGGTTAGGGTGCAGCCTGCCTACCTACACGGCGGTCAATTCCTGTTTCCTCTGGGGAGGTTGTATTTTTGCTGGGGTTTTCTTTTGTTTTTGTTTTCTTGCCTGGTGGGGGTCTGCCTGGTGTGGCTATAGTCCCACTTATACTATTTTGGTAGCTCTCTGCAATTCCCATGTGATTGTACACGTCACAGGAGTTTCAGTGTTTTGATCTTCCTCTTGGTTTTTTGTTGTACTTTTCTTACCATGTGGGGTTTGTTTTGTTATGCCTACCTTTCTGGGTGCCTAACCCCAGTCAATGGCAGATAAGGAAAATCCCCAACTACAAGGGGGTTGTAATGGTTCTATTGTTACATAAAGTATGGTGACAATAAACACAAACACTAAGACAATACTGTATATATATTTGGTCGAGTAAACAGAAGTATGCAGGTGATACTTTGGCGAGCAATTGTGTGAGTTGAGCGCACTGAGAGTCGGTACAGTATCTCGCAAGTGTCTGTTCTAGACCACACTTGAAAGTAGACTAGTTATTATTCGCTACTCTGCTGCTTATATGCTTGGGCAACACCTCACCATTCTCCAAAGGTTGACAGGAATATTATGTGGAAGTTGGGAAAGGTTTGAGTTCCATAATTAGTACCAAGAAGAGCTTTGCTTCTCTCATTAAGATAATGCGTTTGGAGCGAGTATATTATTGGGATAATCTACTCGCTACAGGGTTTTCCAGGGCCATTGCTTCCTGCACCTCTCTGAGGGGGCCAGGTTGTCCTCGGTAGGCTGAACTCATAGACTAATGCCCCAGTCTAATATATCACATATTAGTCCGATAGCTCCAGGGATCCATAGAGGCTCCCCACAAAAAAATTGTGCCAATGTTAAATAATGTATTTTCTTGTATAACTGGATGTTTTGTATTAATACTTATTTACAGTAATAGACCACAATGAACAGATATGTATATGCAATATGAAGTTCTGAATTAATACCCATTTATGGTAATAAGCAATCCATGAAGAGATATGTAGAGTATGTTTCTGTTTCAACTCTAAAACAGATTTGAAAATTTGTGTACTGGATCCTCAATGACCAACTCGGTTTTGCATAATTGTGTACCCACATTATATCCACTCATTAGTCATTTAGACTTAATCTGAATGCTTCTTTTGCACTTAAATGAATAAAATGGAGGCAGAAAATATTGCATGCAAACAGAATACAGATGGAGGAAACAGCCTTGCCAGGACCCAAGCTCATAGAATACATTCCAGAATACATGTTTAAAAAGCAAATCAGCATTCAGTCAATTATAAAACATTGAAAATCAGATTTACTATCTGAAACAAGCAAGAAATTTAAGAATTTGTCTGTACATTTTTTTTTATTGGAAGCAGATTCGGCAAAACATTGAAAAAACAAACATAATAAAATATTTAAATCTGCAGAATAGTGATGTTTTCAGAAATAAATAAAGTTAAGAAAAGTAAACATTAAATGCTCAAATCACACATTATACTTAATAAATATAAATCTGAATACAATGAACTCTAAAAGTAATACTTTGAAAACAGTAATTTTCAATAAAAATATAAACACTGATAAATTTACAAGTGGAGTTGAAATAAGTTATATGATAAGAATACTTTGAACTTCATGCACTCTAAATGTAATTTGAACAGTGTTATAAAAATAGTGTACTTTGATCACTTGCCTTAAGAAAACCATGTAATGTGCCATAATGGTCTCTCATCATCCCCTGGAGTGTGGCTAAATATCTAAAAGTACAGTGTGATGGGGGTCATGGATGGAGGGTTAGAGAACAACTATGACTGAATATACTAATCAAATATAGTACTGTATAGGGAAAATTTAAACCAACATTAAAAATTTATAATTTCTGTGCTCCTTTGTACAGAAAAGTTGAACTTACTTGATCTACAAAGTCTGGGAAGTTGGCTTATGGTACACAGCAAAAATAAGAGGGCTGTAAAGAGATAAAGAACATAAGGTGTTCTTTATCAATCTTACAGCATGACCTCAAAATTTGCACATAAAATGGTGTAGTGTTCTAAAAGCAGCGATTCAATCAAATGCTCATATAACATTTGATATCTAAATTGTAACTTCAGAAGACATATACTGTGATCTTATTCATTAGACAAACATAAGATCAACAAGTATAAAATAAATCCTGTAATGCACTAATTACACACAGTATCTCATATAACCCTTAACTACTTAAGTCTGAAAGAAAGAACAAATGCAACATTAGTAACTCATGGTTGAGGAACACCATACCTCGCTTGATACGGTCACAAGTGTTGTACTGTGAGCCTGGAACGGGTGGAAGCTTGCGGTTTGGTGGTGGAATGTAGCCGAGTTCCTCGCGGAAACCTGGGTGACGCTTGTCCATGGTCGAGGGTGGAGGCATGCTGGCATTGTACTGGTACTGCTGATACACCTCCTCTGTCACACCAAAATGACAAGATGCATTAGCTACTAGTTAAGTGGCAGACTCTTTACCATTAAAAGGTTTAGAAATTCCAAATACCTTAACACTGTAAAGTTTTATAAGCTTCACACAATTTCACACAAGTTTCAATTAATTTCCTTTTATGCTAACATACACTGTACTGTAATTCAATATGTGAATTATATTTTAATAAAAATAATTTTACAAATATTTTTAAAGAAGACAAACAAGTTAAGTTAGCTAAATACTAATAATTAATTAAAAGTTGAATGATAAATTTGAACCAAATATATTTTACAATTAATGCAAATATATACCAAATTTTTTTTAATATATCAACATACCTATATAGCAATGAATAAAAATAAATGTTCAAATATACTTTAAGATGAACAAATGAATTTTAAACAGTCATCTAATTAGGATAATGAGAGAATAATAGGTAGCATTACCATGAACTGAAAATGTCTATATATTTATGTTTTAAAATTTAAAGCATGAAAAGCATTGTTGAGTAAGTTACAGAGAAGCTTAAAGCAATGGCTGAAGCTTGCCATGATTGGTTTCAAACTAATCTATGTCCATTAATTGGATATCTTAATTTATATGAACATATTTTGTGTCTTTTAACAACAGAAATACTGGAGCTGCCCAAAATCAAATGTTTCATATATTCATCTATTATCAATAATATATTCAACTGAGCAGTACTGTATGATTAAACTAAATTATGATATATATATAATATTCCATTTCCTGAACATATACTGTAAATGTAAACTGATTAATAAATACAATATTAAAAATATAGAAATTAAATGTTACTTCATCAAGTGAACATTATCTTGTCATTTTCCTTAAGATGATATACAAAAATATTACCTTGGCATTAGTATATACAGTTTTAGCAAGAAAAAACATACATCTGAAGGCAGCATACTGCACTTAAACTTTTACTGAGTTACATACAGTCTTTAAGAACATAAGATTGAAGGAAATTTTAGAAGGCCTATTAGCCCATACGAGGCAGCTCCTATTTATATCCACCCAATCTCATTCTCATCTTTTAAAGATCATATTGTAATGAATCCCAGTTACATTTGTCTATTTCTGAGCTAAGGTTCCTTGAGTCAGCAGCGTATTCTGCCCATCAGGCTCTAATGACCTGTCCACCCACCAAGAACACAACATTCCAAATATGTCTGGTCATGTGATTGGGTAAGGGAGAGATTGGAGAGTGTAATTTGAGTGAGTTGATAGTGATCAACTCACTATCAGATGAAAGAATAAACATTACATTTGCCCCTCTCTAAACGGTTATCGAAATAAAAAATAAATTATTGCTCTGCTAACTAAAAACTGGGAAATCTGTCACTACCCCTACTGCCACCAAAATAGGGATGGTGGAGCCAGCAACTTCATAAGATGCCTGGAAGTTCATACTTCCTGCCATGACTTTGTAGTGAGGTTTAAGATCAATTCTCACTCTGTGCAGAGAACACCAACCTTTGCAGCTTGCTTCACTCTGTGCGATTGATTCATTGTGTACCACTGTCTAATTTTTTTTTGTTAGCAGTTTTGTTGAAGGGTTTTGTTCCATGGCATTGTTTTGTTGAAGTTCCTTGGATATTAGATATATCTCCTCTGAGGTTGAGTGGTTTCAGCTCTTTTTTGAGTTGTTCCACTGCCTTGGTGGTGCATCTTAGGCTTAGGTCTTGACACTGGGCATCTAGTTAACATACACATTATAATTC